GTCGAAAAAATCCGTAAAACATAAAATAAAACGTTACGAATGAAAATATATATACTATTAATTTAGAATAGGTAACGACAAAGTGCAAATTGGATTACTGACAGCGATGCGACGCGCGACGTACACACGCGTCCGAAAGACTGAGCACGTTTCGACAAATTTCGGGTGGGCCTTAAGTCGTCTGTTTCGGCCAAATGCCCTGGCTTTTCTCGACACGAAATCTGAAGAGCGCAAAAGTGGCTCGCGGTACGCAAACGGTTAAGAGAATCTTGTTGGTTACCAAATATTCCGGCTGCAATCATCAACGGTAGATCAAAACAATACATTTATCTATTCGCGCACGTGGCCAAGTAAACATCTTACTTACAAACCAGTTACATATTTTTATTGAAGAAACAATTGGTGCAATTTAAGACAGTGAAACGATTATTCGATACGACTATTATATTCGACTTCTGTCTCTTGTAGTTCACGCGGAAAGTTGTTATTCTACGAAGCATAAAGATGCGTTTAGTTTACTTATCATTTTCCCTTATAAGGCACTGCTTTTTCGAGGTTTCCAAGCTATCGCGCGAAGATGCGAAGGTCTTCGTGTCGCAGACGCGGTCTTGCGCGGATTGCGTCGCAGTCGGGGGGCAGCCGCAAAAGCTTCCGGTTGGACATTTTCCGCGTCGATGTCCAATGTCCAATGTTCAAGCATCCGAGTGTTTCTGCCATGAAAGGATCCCTGTCGGCGAGAGGAACTCGGGTATCAAATCGATTTGAAAGAGCTCGTAACTGCCCGCGCACGCTTCGGAATGCAATGGGTCTCGGGGACCGCTGGGAAAGTCCCAAGCGTGGAGAGACATCTGTGTCGCGACCGCGCCTTCCGGGAACGCGAATTTCTATTCCGCGGATGCGATTAATCGTCGCCGCCTGGAAAATCGTCGCGTTCGCGCCGGGAGGATATCGACGGGGCCCTGAAAGCGTTTTACACGGCGGGGACTCGGCAACGCCGGCAAGCCGAGCCCGCAAACCGCTGGCAACCGTGAGGCCGTTGAAAGCGGGCGGCGCGTTTCATCCGCGCGGAATTCCGGGGAATATATTTTACGCATAATCGCCGCCATAAATCGCGATCGAAAATTTAAACGCGCGTCGTCCCTGTCTAATTTACTGCGGGTAATTTAGGTAATCGACGCTCTCGCTGCTTCTCTCGTCGCGGCGTTTTCTCTTGCTTCTTCGAACGTGCTTGCGCGCACTGCCCTCCGTAAAAACTGTCCGAGCTCTATGAGACGTCGGTGCTGCTGATTAATTTCACAGGCGTTACGCGCCGGGAAATTTACTACTTTGACGCTACCCGGGCTGAATTATGTCGTTCCCGCTTTTTGTTGCAGATACTTACTACCACATGCAAATGATACACGCGTCGAACGTGAAATATCGTATCGTAATAATTGGAGCGTAAATCCGTATTTTATTTTATTCAATGAAAATTCGAAACTTCCTATGCAAAAGCAGTGTAACGAAGATGAAACAGTACTGTAGCTGTTACGTAGTTTATTTAAAAATCGAACGAAATATTTTTCTTTGAATGCAATCGCAGGTACACCCAATTCAGTTTTACTAAATGATTTGTGATCGTTGATACTCTGTTAACGCGATCAATTTAATCGAATTTATTTATATACGGAAGAACGCCTTTTAATACATATAAATAATCGTACATGTCGCAGATGTACGCGGGTAAATGTATAAATATCTAACAAGTACTATACTATACTATATACAGGATATCCCCCCCAAAAAAATGTCTCGCAATCTAGAAATGGCGGGTTCCTCAGATCATTTGAAGCAGCTTCTTCCTTTACAAAAATGTTCTCCGAGGCACCGTTAACGAGTTATTAACGAAAAACAGTGACCAATAAGAATCGAGTACGGCCGACGCGAGGCGGCCCAGCCAACCAGCGCACGAAGCCCGGTTCCGCTCATTGGCTCAGTCGCCTCGCGCCAGCTGCGCTCGATTCTTATTGGTTATTGTTTTTCGTTAATTACTCGTTAATGGTACCTCGGAGAAAATTTTTGTAAAGGAAAAAGTTGTTTCAAATGACCTGAGCAACCCGCCACTTTCGTATTGCGAGACATTTTTGGGACACCCTATATATATTTATTTAGTTTTATACAGTCTGGTCAAATTTCTATATATACTACACTATACTATACTATAGAAATTTGACCTATAATTGACCTATAATATATATGTATAAAACTGTATATATAACTGTATATGTATATATATAAAATACTGTATAAAACTATATATATTATATATATATTATAGATCAATTATAGGTCAAATTTCTATATATACTACACTATAGAGATTTGACCAGACTGTATAAAACTAGAATAAGAAAGAACAAAGTCAACGAATGATCATTGACATTGTTAATTATTCTTTGTCCGATGCTACATCGGCGGAGAGGAGTATGGCATCTTTTCGACGCGGCTAATGCATTAAAATTGTTAGTTTTACTATGTCCACTGGCACACCGCACGCACATTCCGAGAAAGATAGCACCCAAGAAAAGGAATCGCAAATCGCTTCTTGTATTTATTTCCAACCACGCCAATCACACGGTCTAGAGGCAGAAGATTTACTCGGCGTTCTCCCCGGCGTCGTTAATATCTTCGAATTGTCGAGCGAAAAAATTTAGTTCCCGTGACGCAATTGCTAATTCCCGGCGATCAATTACCCGGCCCGAAGGGAGAGCGTTGAGGAGACAGCCGGCATTACAAATTTTATGGCGTCCTCGGACGAGTCGAACAACTTCTCCACGGAAAGTCGCCTACACCGAAAAACGAGGATTATTCAGCTCGATTCATCGTTCGTACACGTTGATTCATGCGCTCGCGGTGCGCGCCGCGCGGGCGATTTAAATTTCAAATGGTCGCCGGATAGCAGCTCTCCGCTTACACGTGGTTTTATGACAAAGTGCCGTTGTCGCGTCGAACAAGACGAGCCGTGTGGTCCCTTGGTTCGCATTAAAACGAACAAACATAAAAGGACCGAACAACGCGTCGCGGGACCGAAATTTTGCTCGTGGCGGCGCGGCTCGTGAATTCGACGGTCGCCGATATCTCGCTCTGCCCGGGCACTAAATCAACGGCGATACTTTTACAAGTCATTTTTTCCTCGATTTTAATTAACACGTGCAAGCAAAAAAAAAGAAGTCGAACAGAGAAATCGTTGAATATCGCCGAGGTCGCGATCGTCTCGGCGACGCACGCACACGCGCGTGCACAATGATGCAACAGCGCCTCGCGCGCGCGCGCTCGCGTTCGACTCGCCGTTGCCATCTCGGAAGCGGAATCGATCACGCGATCGTCTCACCTTTTATTTAATGGCCGCGCCGAGCTCGATGACAGATTGTCAGCCGACACCGCCTCGGCATAGAAATCGAACGAACGATCTAATGGTGATTTATTGCGACCGCAATTCTAGTTTCCGCCGTCGCTCGGCGTCACGTCCGGTCTCCTGCTGTCTCGATCTATACCCGTTTCGATCCAGGATCCTCGCTCCTTACTGCTGCTTTTTCGTCGCTCCTCTTGTCCGTTCGGTAAGCAACGATGCAAACTTAACCCCAAAAATCCCATGTTCAGAGTTACTGGCAAGCTGTGTATACATTTATTTAGGCAAACTTAACGAATCCATTTAAGACTAATATTCTCGACAGGATAAGTAATAATTATTACAGTAAATTCTCTCTAATTTTCCTTCGGCTGGTAAACAAAAATGGACAATTTGAGAAGAGGAGATACAATTGTTCGAGCCTCGCAGCTCATTCTTATAGTTGCCTATTGTCAATAATTATAAAAACGTGGTGCAAGGCTCGAATAATCGTATCTCCGCTTCCCAAATTGTCCATTTTTATTTACAAGCTGAAGGAAAATTAGAGAGAATTTACTATATAACCTTCTAGGTTATAGTGGCTTGCTCTAGTAGCTCACTCGCTCATCGTTTGAATCAAATAATCGTCTTCATATGCATTGTTTCACACTTCTTTTGTCTTTACATCGATTTACAATAGTCTACAGGGTGTCCCAAGAATGTCTCGCAATCAGGAAATGGCGGGTTCCTCGGATCATTCGAAGCAACTTCTTCCTTTACAAAAATGTTCTCCAAGGCACCGTTAACGAGTTATTAACGAGAAACAGTGACCAATAAGAATCGAGTACGGCTGACGCGAGGCGGCCCAGCCAACCAGCGCCCGACGCCCAGTTCCGTTCATTGGCTCGATCGCTTCGCGCCAACTGAGCTCGCCTCTCATTGGTCACTGTTTTTCGTTAATAACTCGTTAACGGTGCTTCGGAGAAAATTTTTGTAAAGGAAAAAGTTGCTTTAAATGGCCCGAAGAACCCGCCACTTTGGGATTGCGAGACATTTTTGGGACACCCCCTGTATATACAGTATCAGACTCTGTACAGTACACATCAGACTCTGCCGTCCAGAGAAATAGCCTCGCGCAGAATTCAGCCGTACCTAAAAGGTTAAATATAATTTTTGATATTGTATAATTACTTTTGTAAACAGTTGCTCGACTTGTCGCCGAATAATAAAAGAATCGTTTGCCATGTAGCACGAAGTTAACCATCGTTTCAATTTGTCCGACAAGCTTAATTAGTCGAAATGTACGAAAGAATGCTCGAATCAAGTCGCACATAGCAGGGAACAGTTTAACCCTGTTCGCTCTCTTGATCCGAAAGAGCAACGGTTGCCGAGTTCGGGTAATGATTCTATTCGAGCAGATAAGCTGCTCGATAAACTCGCGCGTAACCGTGAGCACCGGTGGGATCGTTGTGCCCGTCGCTAAGCGATGATTCATAGAATTACGCGTGTCCAAAGCGATTTGGTTAGCAATCGGAAATGAGGTTGCGCCGATGGGGGCTGTAATTTAACAATAACCGTGATTACAGGGAAGCGAAAGAGAAGTAAGAACGGTCGTTTGGTTTCGCTGTTTCAGGACGAGGTGGGAGGCAGTACGGTGGTAGCCGAGGGTGTAGTAGGCGGCATAAAGGGCCCAGGCGGCGGGTGCCGCGCATCCTCGATGACGATGGCCGAGAGCGCCGTGGAGGACGCCGCAGCCGCGCCCCCGGGTCCAGCGAAGCCGCCACCGCCCTCCTGTACCAACAACAACACCCTGGCAGCGACCGCGAACCGCAACCACCGGAATCTTCGTAGACGGAAACGACTGGACCAGGTGCTGGACATCCTGCAACATCGAAGTTCGCCGTCCGAGGGCGAGGTGTTGCGTTTCGAGGGCAGCGGGCCGGCGTCCGAGGAGGAGGAGGACGTGTTCGGTTCGCCGAGATCGTCGTCGAGATCGGCGGTGGACCCGCCGTCGGGCATCAGCTTGTTGCCGCTGAGGCTGAAGAGCGAGGAGCCCGTGACGCCCACCGAGGAGGAGGGGAACACGACCGACGCCGACCAGTCGCAACAGCAGAACCATCATCTCCATCATCCGCACCATCACCCTCATCACCATCGTCACCGGCACAGGCATCACCACAGAAACAACGCGAATCACGTGTACGATCACCTCCACCCTTCCCATCAGAGATCGTCCGCGCCGAAATACCCCGGATGCAACTGCGCCCATTGCGCCCAGTCGGCCACCCCGCCGATGGTGCTCCCTTCGCCGACGTCCCCGCTGACACCTCTCACGCCGCTCACGCCGCTCACTCCGCTCAGCCTGACGCCGCTCACGCCCGGCTCCCTGTCGTCGTACACCTTCGAGCACTACATGCACACCAAGTACCTGCCGGACATATTCAGAGGCCGCAGCCACTCCGACTCGGACCTGGTCCCGGGATGGGACCAGAAGCCCCCGCTCTCGACCTCGTCCGTCTTCGTGAACCATCCGCTGAGGAGCGGTTCCCTCGAAAGCGACACGACGAGCCCCCAAGAGTCGCCGCTGGACCTCTCGATGAAGAACCTGATTCCCGGCGGCAGGCCACCGGCGCTCCAGCTGTTGCCTCCCGGCATCGTGTCCAGGGGCTCCGTGAGCGTGCCGGTGGTCAAAGGCGACGTGGCGTCACCGACGACCAAGGAGAGCGCCGCCAACAGATTCAACATGAAGGTCTCGCCGGTGGTGGAGACGATGCCGCCGGGCGCGAACATCGCCTACGTCTGTCCCGTCTGCGGTCAGATGTTCAGCCTGCACGACCGGCTGGCCAAGCACATGGCCTCCAGGCACCGCAAACAGGGCCCCCAGGACGCGTCCGCGAAGGCGTACCTCTGCGACGTGTGCAAGAGGAGCTTCGCCAGGTCCGACATGCTCACCAGACACATGAGGCTGCACACCGGCGTCAAACCGTACACGTGCAAGACCTGCGGACAGGTATTCAGCAGGTCGGATCACCTGAGCACTCACCAGCGGACGCACACCGGCGAGAAACCGTACAAGTGTCCCCAATGCGCGTACGCGGCCTGCCGCCGGGACATGATCACCAGGCACCTAAGGACCCACGCCAAGTGCTCGGACACCCAGACGCCGAAGAGCGAGCCCGGCTTCCTTGCCGGCGAGGACAGCCCCACGTATCCGCAGGAGATGGCCTCGCCTTCGGCCACGATCAAGGCCGAATGACGACGGCCAACCGGGGCGACCAAATCGCTTCAGGGTCCGGTTCCGTGCATCTTGGACTTGTTGCCGAACATCTTCGACGTGGTTCCGAACCTCTTCGAGCTGAGGGACGGCGTATCCATTTCCCACCGACGACGGTACGGGCGCTGATGAAGAGACAACGGAGGCTCTTCTAGCTTCGTAGCTTCTTCGGCTATCATCGGAGAGAGAGAGCTGTCCACGCTGGTTTCAACTGTTGTCGAAAAAGAACTTTATGCGAGCCGTTTTAAACGATCGAGCACGTTTCAAGCTTGTCACAGTATTATCGTATCTCTTCGTCTTCCCCGTTGCTTCCCCACGAACTCGCGCGGTTCTTCGCCGCCGGTCTTCGCAGCATCCAGGACACACCGCACAAGCTACTCGGAGATAATTCCAGCAAACGCTCGACCGTCCGTCGAGCATTTCGTTTTTACAGTTTTAAGGGGAACCAAGGTCGAGCAGTTTTTATACAGGAATCAGGTTTTAGTTGCAGCCGAGGAAGTTCGTTGTCGTTCCTATTTCAGACGGGATCTCCGAGAGAGCGTCGCGTCGGCGTCCTATTTCGCGGTAGACTGGCTCCGGAAACGCGAACTTTTGTGGCTTTCGGACGTCGCGTTTCGCGGGGGGAGGGGGGATTAGTTAGGCTTCGAAGCTGCGCGTCGGACGATCGTTGTTGGAATCTCTTTTTGGGTACGCGGTCTCTCGATCGAACGGTCTCTCCGTGCTCGTCGACGCGCGCAGACTGGAAACGTTAACGATCTGAAAAGCATTCCGACTAGCCTTTGTAGCGAACGTCCGCGAGAACGATGCTCGAACGCGATCGATCGATCGATCGTTCGGATCCGAAGCGTTCCGTCGTCGTTCCCTGACTCGGCCGTGGAGAACCTTGTGCCAAATTTTGTCCGTCGAGTAGTTGCTGGATCCACTCGTTTACTGTTCGATCGACCGTTGTTAAGGGGCCGCGAACGTTTGCATCGCGTAAAACTCGCGAATCTTCGGCGCTGTTCGCTGAAACCCGTTCGTCGTCGTCGTCGCCGTTCGTAATTTATTGAAATTATCGGCCCGCCAGGCGGGACACGCTCGACGCGGAAGGAACCGAAGTGTCCTCGTGACAATTGTTCGAATGTGAATACCGAGCCTCGATCGGGCGGCATTGTTAATCGACTAGGATAGAGACTGTTTTTTATTGCGCGTTGTGAAATTCCTCTCGAACTGTGTCGTGATATATTTATATCGAAATTTATTGTTACTCGCGAGAGAGAGACCGGGAACGGTTGTAACGTAAACCGGAGAGCCACGGGAACGAGTCCAAGGACGCGCGGAGATGAAGAGGAGAAGCTGAGGGCGTGCTTCGGCTCGCGGCGAAAGAAAGAAACAATGGAGTAAAAAAAAACGAACGTAATCGTACCTGCAAAATGAAATGAAACTTAAAGCATAATAAAATCGTCTAGACGTAACGTTAATTAGTGGGTAATATTGATATTATTATTGCGTTTTTATTATTACAAATATTAATATTATTAATTATTAATATTATTCTCATTGTATTTGTTGGCGTGAGAATGTTGCGAAACATGCGGTGGAACAGAGAAATATTTTTTTACAAGGCGTCGAAGAGGTTTCGCGATTAGATCCGAGAAGGGAGCCAGAGGGGAGGGGGGAAACGTAGATCGGCGAGAAAGTGTCGCTGAGCGCAGTGCGCGTCGTAGAGTTTCATTGTTGTCTTGAAATTTCAGATCCTCGATGTTCGGGATCACGCATCATGTTCGCGCTCTCCTTCCGGATCTTTCGCGCGCGACCCGTTCGATTCTTCGATCGATCGAGAGCGATCGATCAATTTGTGAGAGTATCCCGACGAAGTGCTGGTCGATTTCGGACGACATTCGGATCCACGATGCTTTCGGACGATCCCTCGGAAAATACTCACTTCACAGGCGCGTGCGGAGTTTCGCGGTTCGATTCGATCTACGGGACAGTCACGGTCTCGGACGCTTCGGATGACCGACGCACCCTCGTGTCCCCATAAATCGACAACGAAATCGGTCGATGGCTCGAGATCCGCAATATTCTTTCCGGTGAAATTGAATAGCAAACTACGTTTTCGAGAATATAATGTTCTTTCGCTATGCATTAATGCACTGAAGTCCGCAGATACAGTGATAAAAATTCGAGAAGTTTGAAGTTGGAAAATCGATTCTAAAGAAAGACAAATATAGCCGTGTAATCTCTGTCGTACGAATCTCATGGAAATTCTTAAGCAACGCGATCGGTTAACATCGAACACTTCGATTCACGGACAGATCTTGTATAGAAGTATTTCTGTTGTATTCTGATATCTGCGCACGAAATGACAATCAAAGTTCCTACACGAATGAATAGGAACGAATCGATAAGTGATAAACGAAACGGATCTAAGGTACACCAACGATCTTATAACACTGCTGTACCTTGGATCCCTCTTTTTCGGAAGACCATGGAAAAGCGATCTCGAGCAGTTGGCAGATTTTGACCGGGTTATGGGGGTACGAGTTTTGGGTCACGGGGTGGGTTCGATCGGAGCACGATTATTATAGTCATAAAGAGATGCGAGTCCGTCTCGACTCGAATCTGTTGGGCAGGATTCTCGCTGACACACGCGAGCCGACCACGCGTGACACCAACTACTTTGAACCTTGCTCAATCTCGACCGTTTGCCTTTTCCCTTGCCATAACTCGCCGATCGTCCGGCGGGTCCACCGTTCATGGCCGCGGTTGCAGGCAAAGTGATACACACACACACACAACACGAGCGTCGTGGTCCGCTCTCCCCGAATGTTTTCTTTCGTTTTCTCTTTCCTTTTCATTTTTCATTCGGCTTTTCGAGACACGCGTTTACGCGCGCCGCGGTGCCCCCGTAAATGGACACGCGTCCGCGCAGCGGGACGGACGGACGGACGAACGAACGAACGGACACGTTTGTACAGAGAGATCGAAAGGGAGAAAGAGAGCGAGTGCGTGTGTGTATGTTTTGCGCGTGCGATAGAGAGACGGCGGGTATAGTGTGCGTGGCCCACGCCGGTGGTATGTATATCTGTATTTTTGTATACCGAGGTTTTTTTCTAATTAGTCTCTACCGTTTAAGCGTTTTCTCGAGGAGGAACGGAACGAGTAATTAGCCATTAAGGAGAAAAACTGTCGCTCTCTGCTTGCCATTTTAACTTGCCTCTGTCGATCGAACGATTACTCGGAAGGTGGCTTGTCGGAGAGACAAGGTGGACAAGAAGGGAGGGACCTCGGGGCGGAAGGTCTCGACGTTTTAGGAGAACCGCGCGCGACGCGCACTCCATTTCTAACCGTTCCTCCCTCCTCCCTCCTGCCTCCCTACGTTTTAAGAATTCCTTCGTTTCTTAACGCACGCCTGAAATTTCTGTTTCCCTTCTCCTTCTTCTCCCTTCTCCTTCTTCTCCCTTCGCGCCCCCCACCCCTCACGACACGTCCCGCGGAACATTGAAAATAGTACTTTTGCAAAACACTCGTTCTCTCGCCTATTCAACCGCTCGTCGCGTCGACACCTTGCGGCCCGACGCCCGTTCCTCGACGGAGGAGAAAATCTCTCTTCGCGCGAGATATCCGTTCGGCACACGAAGAGGATAATGCGCGAGTTGAAGAAGATGAAGAAGGAGAACGATACGCGAAACACGCTCGACTTGCTTTCGGGCAATTATGCGATCGCCGTGCCAGAAAACCTGTTCTTGTAATTATTAACACATTCGTACGATTACAATTATTTCTATTATTATAATATTATTATTATAATTATCTCTATTATTATAATACTATTATTATAATTCTATCTATATTATTATAATATTATTATAATTATTTCTATTATTATTATATTATTATTATAATTATTTCTATTATTATTATTATATTATTATTATTAATTATTACGTCCTAGTTACGTTGTTAAGTGATTAATCATGTTTAATGCTTCTATTATTTATTTTGTTATCCTATTCGCAAGTCAAGCTTCCTATTTTTCGCCCCCCCCCCACCCCCCCCCCCCCTCCCCTCCCCCCTTCCCC